CTAGAATTGTCAAATGCTTCATCACAGGTATATTTTGCTTTTAAGGTCTTTATCGTAATCCCAGAAAGGTCCCCATCTGGAGTAATATGAACAATAGAGGGGCAGTCAAATACACATCCACACCTTAGCCTTTATGGAGAACTTTTCTTTAACTTGAGCTCCTTTTTGTTTGCTAAGGCATAGAGGTTAAGATATTTTCTTGCTTCAGGTATATCCTTGAAACTCATACCCTTATACAGTTTCTTGTAATCATCCAAACCTGGCATAATCTCTCTTTTCTTTTGATTAGCGAATGTTTGTAATTCATCACTATCATACTCTATCTCTCCAGAATTAGAATCAGATTCAGATTCAAAATCACTACAATCAGTATCAACTTCATTTAATACTGGATAAGACTCAGAATGATGGACTATGTTAGTCACATTAATAGACTGCTCACCCTCATCTACAGTATAGAAATGAAGAGTCTTGAACTCAGCAGAGATTAGACACAACATATATCTTATACCAGCAGCATTCTCAATCTCATAATAATTACCAAATGGACCATTCACAATTAGTTGTTGAACACCTACATTTCCTAACTCATCAATGTATAAATCCACTAGATATTTGTTCGAAGAAGTTTAGAATCATAACCTCTCTTGATATGGGACAACTTCTTTGAATACAAGACACGTGGGCTTGTAATCCAGTCCCACCATAATGCAACATTAGGTCCACCGATGGCATACTTGATATTCTGTCAAGGTAACAATAAAGAATCATGAATGAGGACAACAAAAATTTAAATAACATAAACAATACTAATAAAGAACAATAACTAAGCAATTAAAAAAATCAGAATTATAAAGCATGTATGGATTTAGGGGAACACAAACAACATGTAACAACTAGGGGACCACAAATAATTCAAATAGTAATGGCCCACTAGCACTAAAATATCCACAGATTTCAGTTGTGAGGGAACAACATTCAATACACCCAGCACAGACATATGCCAGACAAGAAAACGACTAAAAGGAACGATTGAAACCCCACATTCTCATATCTCACCAACTTTAGTGCTTACAAAATTCAAAGACATATGCCAGCACAGACAAAAACCACATAAACCCAGCACATACATAATCGATACAAGACATATCACAGAAGTTTATTCGGGATAAGGAAAAGAAAAAAATAATCCCTACTATATTGTCGACCATCAATAATCCTAACAGAAAAAGACTAAAACAACACATGCAAAGGCATTCCACACAAGAAAATAAGACAAAAAGATCAGAAAATAACATCTTAAACTAAGACATAAGAATACAAAACATATTAAAGCCCCAAAACGATTTGAGCATAAAATCCTAATAATAAACTAAGAAAAATACACATAAAAGTGAGATAAACAAGTAAAATTACGCGGATTAAACATACCTTTTCAGAAAATTGATTCTTGAATCGGTAGCATCGACTAAGAGTAAGCTTTCTTGAAGAACTCTAACTTGGTCTCGTGGTTGAAGGAAGGGAATGAGAGACCGATGTGTTTTGCGGTTTTTTTAATTGATAGATCGGGCGGGTCGGATAAAATGAGCCGGGTCGGTGGGTTAATTAAAAAATAAGGGGTGGGTTTAATTCGTCCAATAAAAGACTGACAAGTGGATATTTTTATTATAAATATTGAAGTACATGGTGGAGAGACATTTTAATTTTTGGGCACCAACGGTGAGGACTTTTTAAATTAAATAGTATAACAGGGGACACATATGACTTATTTTAGATAGTAGAAGGACATATATGGCCCTTTTTCAGAACAATAATGAAATGACACCCCCAGCCTAACGAGGCCAATGTGCATATGATCTTTCTGCATATAACCTTTCTCTCACTCTATTAAATTTTAGTATAGTTTAAGATATTGTCTCACAAAAAAAATAACAATCACATACATAATATTTTTGTATTGTCCTAGTTACTATTTGAGAGAATCAAAATTGATAAAAGTAGAATTGTTCAAAAGTTTTAAAAATCAAATAACAGAAGAATATATATTTTTGGGGTTTTTCTACTAAAAGATAAAAGTTGGAATTTTTTTAAAGTGGCAAGTTAAAACTATTATAATAAAATTGAAATTCTATTATTTTTATATTTAATGAAATGACCACATTTTTTTAATTGAACCAAATCATATAAAAGTAACCAACTAATAATACATTTTTCTATTAGTATAGTTATTGATTAATAGTGATATAGAAATCTTATTTAAAAAATGATTGCTTATTTCTAATACAATCACTTGACTTAACCACAATATATTAATAGCATCACTGTCGCTTATATACTATTGATGATCTATTTTGTCAGTTACAAATATTAAACAGTAACCCACTAATAGTACCATTTTCGCTTATGCTATTAATCTTGATGCAACATTAGTGACGTGGTGTATCCTAGACCCAGTATTTCATCTAAGCATTGATAGTCTTTTTTAGCATTGTGTGATTTTGGTCAAAATGCCATAACTTTACGTAGGAGAGTCCAAATAACAAACTGTTACATCCAGAACTCTGCATTTCTCTCTCAAAAAGCTTAACCAAATTCCGTATGAATTTGATGTTCTATTAGAGTTGAGTCGTGTTTCTTGAAAAAAAAATTATTGTTATAAACTCTAATTTCCAATATCTGTTGCTTGAATCTTTATTATTTATTGCCATTTGACTTCAATGACACTATCTTTAACAATCAACCACTCTCATTTGCTATCATTTTCAACTCATGGGCTTTTTCACTATTTTCTGCTAACAATTAAGTTTATAATTTGCCTGCCCATACAAACCACAAAAGTATATTTTCTAATAATAAATTACTAAAATTACTCACAAATAATTAATAATAATATACATATAACCCAATTAAAACCTCTTAATGTGCACTCTATCACATCCCCATGTCATTTTACTTTGGTTCGTTAACTCCTTTTAGTTTTGACATCTAAGGTGGCTCTACAAAAAATATTCCGGAAAAGAAAGACAGCAAATTTTTTACAATTCAGTACTGAAATTTTGTGGGTCCGATTAATTTTTACTCATATTGGATAAGTCCATCAAACTTCAGACTAAACTATCTTTTTGAAGGAAAATTTAGATTATACTATCAAAATAGTATAATATAAGTAGAAGAATCAAATCTCAAATTACTTTATTTTTAATAAGATGTCCCCGGGGAATTAACAAAATGCACATGACTTTAACCATTACATAACTCCCTACGTCCCAAAAAAGATACAATACTTTTCGGATTTCAGAGTCAAACTTTTTAAATTTTACCATGAATTCGTACATTGAATCTTTAAGTTATTTTAAATAAATTTAATATATATAGAAACTATATAAACAGTACTATATATCACAATAATTAATAATTTAAAATACGGAAAAGGGCCAAAACTATCCCCATCGTTTGCTAAATGATTTATAAATACCTTCCGTCCATCTATCTGTCCAAAAAATACACCACGTTAATTCTATTAGTAAAATTACCCCCGCGACTAACGACAGAATTGGTGGGCCTACAATTTAATGACGTGTCATTTTTCTACTGGGCCACGTGGTAATATCTGACTAAAATAAAAAATAAATCTTATTTCGACCCACTTAGTTGACCCGACCCAATGGCTTCCCCATTTTTCCGATCTTCTTCTTCATTTCACCCAAACTCTCTCTGCGCCACTCCATCACCATAGCTACGGCTCTCAACAAGCAAATTATAATGCTATGTCATAAAAAAGAAGCGAATGCACCAAATCATACACAAATATCCTCAGTTCCCAGCCCCAAGATCAAAGAGGATGTATTAGTAAATTAAAAGATCAACCCAGTTATTTTCATAATCTGCCAAAATTGGAAACAAGAGGATGACCATGCTCCTCCTCTTGTTAAAGGCAAAAACTCCATTTCCCTTTGCACCATAAAACCAAATCTTTCTTCACTTAAACTTGGCAAATCAATCAATGGTTCTGATCTAATACCATTGTTAAAGCTCAAGTCTTTACTGATATTTTTAATGTTCTGTTGACTTATAGTCAAAGAATCAAGATCATCAAAACAAAGACTTTTTGTTTCTGTACATAAAAGATTTGAAGCTACACAATCATAAATGTTTTCAGCCATTAAAGCAATAGAAAAAAACCTCAAATTTATTATGCTATAATTAAACCCCTTTTATCAAAATCTTATCTTTTTACAAAATTTAATCCCATTTACATGAGATTGTTCAAGGCTCCAATAAAAAAGAAAATTTTAAGGATTTTTCAGAGAACAGGAAAGAGACTAAAGAAGGGAGAAAAAAGTGATAGTGGGGGCTGGAGACCGTAACAAGAAAATGAGGTTTTTATGTAGGAAATGAACATTTGTGTTTAGGGTAAAGGAGAGATTTTGGGGGAGAGAAGATGACTGCGGATTCTACAGGATTAGTTTGGTGGATTAATGTAATTTTATGACCCAGATAACAAAACCTTGGGTCGAATAAGGTAAATGGGTGGAAATAATATCCATTTTTGTTCCATTCAGATATTGCCACGTGGCCCAGTAAAAAAATGACACGTCATTAAATTGTAGGCCCACCAGTTCTGCTGTTAGTTGCGGGGGTAATTTTATTAACAGAATTAATGTGATGTATTTTTTTGGACGGATAGATGGACGGAGGGTATTTATAATCCATTTAGCAAACGATAGGGGTAATTTAGACCCTTTTCTGTTTAAAATATTTAACATTCGTGGTCAAAAAACAACTCGCTCTCAAAAATCCGAAAAGTATTAACTTTTTGGGACGGAGAGAGTAAGACGCATATACTGACTTACTATACAAGTTTTGGAGTGATTTATTACGTAAACATTCATTTGGGACCAAAGTGAAAATTTGCCACTATGTTTCTGTTGAAAGTCGGTACATAAAGTGCCAAATGGCAATAAACTGCAGTCACACTTTTTACCTTTCAGTGAGCAAGCTGTGAACGATGGATAATCATGGCGTTGAAGCTTCGAGTCCTCTCGCCACAGTCGAAGATATTCAAAAACGTTTAACTCGTCCTCCGCCGCTTACCTCTCCACAACCTCCGTCCTCTGCCATCACATCTCATCTGTAATCCCTTTCTCTACTCAATTCAGCTTAATTCGTAATGCATTAACCAAATTCATATGAAATCTGAATTTTTTTTGTAACCGCAGGTTCGAATTACAGCAGCAGAATTCATCTAATGTGGATACATCTAAATTGCAGAAAAGGAGAAAACTAACTGAGAAATTGAGAGCTAACGTTAAGGTAACGAATCAGAAGTTAGAAGATTACTTCGATCTGGCTCTCCTCTCTTCAATTCGTGCGAAAATGAACAACGCTATGAAGAAAAAAGTTACAATGTCGATGAAAGTGAAGAGCGAATTCGAGGAATTTGTGGTGTGGCCTGCTGGAGAAGATGATTTGGAGGTGTTTTCAGAAAGTAGTAGAAGAACAGATGATGAAGCAATCGTTGATCTCAAAAACGACGACGACAATTCGTTCGGGAATAACGGTGAAGAAATCCAGGTGGATTGCGTGGATCCGTTTCAACAGTTTGAATCAACAGCGCTCATTCGGTTCAAGAGATGAAACAAAAAGGGGTAACTGCGTTAGAGTAGTTTCAAGGTGGCGCCAAAAAGTGGCTCTTTTTCGTAAACATTAAACATTAGAATAGCAAATGTGAAAAAATATTACACTAGTCACATCATACCAATAATAATATAATATTCCCTTCATTTTAATTCATATGGCATATTTTGATTTATCATGGAATTTGAGAAAAAAATAAAAACTTTTGATGCTTGTGATTTAGTACGGTTATAAAAGTTTGTCGATACAATGAAAAATTCAACTTAAATTATTTTCAAAATTTGTCATCAGGGACTCTCAAGCACACGAATTTTCTATAAATAAAAGAAAAATGGAAGACTTCTTATTCAACAGTATAATATGTCTTATATACTCGTGTCAACCAAGGCGTATATAAATTTATCCAAGTTTTTAATTGATTGGAAATATACGAACTTTTCTGTGGAGAATTAGAATTTCTATATTGATAGTGGGTTGTCCATAATTTCATTATTCTTTTTGCAACAGAGTATTTGCTTTCCTACAAGTATATTATCACTTAATTATAGAAGTATTATTTTTACCTTCATTTTATCACTAATATTTTAGCCGAGGGTCTTTCGGAAACAGCCTCTCTACTCTTTCGGGGTAGGGGTAAGGTCTGCGTACACACTACCCTCCCCGGACCACACTAATGGGATTTCACTGGATTGTTGTTGTTGTTGTTTATCACTAATATTTCAATATGATTTAATGAAGAAACAAAAAACAAATACTCAACTCACAACCACCAAATCCATTAGGCTAACGTCTACTTTCAAAATAAGTATTCCAAATAATAGTAGGAGTATACTGAGCGAAATGGTTTACTACAAGATTATTGTTACTGTTCGGTGTTCTCTATAAAAAAAAAAAAAAAAGAAAAAAAATTTATATTTTTACGCTTTTAAGAAAAAGGTGATCATACATATTCGGCATATTCTCCACGAAGACCAATAATGCTCATGATTTGTGGACAAACTGATGGAAGAAAGATAACGTAATGTATTCCATCATTCTCCAATAACTAATTAATGAAACTCAAGACTAATACTCTTTCAAGTTAACAAGGAATCCCTCACCCTCACATCGTCAAAAAAGACAATATGACTTTTTTATCAAAGATAAGAAGCTGGTAAAGCATCAAATTAAGAAGATTTTCTAGTTAATTAGATTTTCTGAGAATTTCCAGAACTGGACAAAACAAATACTACACTAGGATTTTTTTAAGAAAAGGAAACTGAAATTAATTGAAGTTTTAGTGGAACTTAATTTGAACGAGAAAATGGAAACAAAACCAGTCATAAGATCATCTAATGGAAATTATCCACTCTGACGAACAAAATATAACATGAATTTTGCAAAGAAAGGACAAAGAAAAGAATAAGATCCTTTCACTAATCCAGCTATCTATACAAGATCGAAACTTGGACTATATATAAAAGATCGGAAAACTACAAAAATGAATAAAATTCTCATCTCCGATTCTCTATAATGTATTTGGGTAGGAAGGATCCCTAAAAAGTTGCTTCTTGGAATTACTTTCCTTCCATTTTAGCTCATGTGTTAAATTCTTTACTCAAAAGGCATCACATTAAGAGTGTCACAAGACCTTATATATCTCCAACTTCTCTTGATTATCAACTTTTAATGTGAGACGTTACTCACAAATAAGAGTAGCAAACGGTCGGGTCGGGTCGAAAACGGGTAATGAAAAAACGGATAAAATATCCGACCCGACCCATATTTAATACGGATAAAAAACGAAATAATCGGCGGATAATATGGGTAAAAACTAAAAGATCATAATTCGTACTTAACTATGATTCTAAAGTTTTGTTCATGCAACATACATATAATTACTTTAAGACTAATTGAATTTGAAATTGAAATAATAATCGACGAAACTCATCAAGTTCGAGAAACTAGAAACCCATTTTTAGTTATGTTAGAAACTTTAGGAATGTTTTTCTAGCATAATTTAATTTCTTGTTGAAAAGTATCAAGTTTATTTAATTTCAAATAAGTCACGAATCATTAATTTGGTTCTTTAAAAAATTTATGTCATGAATTTGCCTTAAGTTTTATTTTATTTCGTCTTATTTAAACTTCAATATTGCAAGATGATTGTTGTAATTCTAGACGAATGAAATTCAATTGAACCCCTATTCAACATACTTGGCTCCACCATTTCATATAATTAACTTATAAGCGCCAAGTAGTGAAAAAAATGTTTAAGTGCCAAAGATAATTTTATAAATAAGAAATCTATCTTCTATATAGAATAGGAGAAGCAAATCAATGTGATGATGCCAAGTGTCACAATAAAAATTCATCAAGTGTCAAATTTTAGGACAAAATTAGTTAGTTTAGTTAATAATTAGTTATTCTTTTTTAATTTGAATTTAAAATAATTAAAATATCTATATATTTTTTAAGGAAACTATTATAAAAGAAAAGGAAAACAAATATATAAATTTATAACGTCAATGTGGAGATATATAAAATAATAAGACTAATTTATTTTTTGAGATGAGAATTCTTTTGAATAATAATTCATATGGTCATGCTTTATGCTATATGGATAAGATAAAACTAAAGACAAAAACATAAACAATAATTTCAAGAAACAAATAAAATAAAGAAAGATGCAGTTTAACTTCTTATGTTGTAATCTTAATAAAAAAAATTAGACTTTCATATTAAGTAAAAACGGAAAGAAGAATTCAATTTAATATTTTATTAACATTAATAATACAAAAATAATAAGTAATATAATTATTAGTAGATTTATGCCATTTTTAAAAGAGCTTCTATGTTTAACCTTTGAACTGGTTCAACACAGTCCATTTAGAAAAGTAATATGATAATATTTGTACTACGGAAAAGGGTTATATGTGTCGTTGTACTATTAAATATTAGTTATATATATCCCTCGTTATACTATTCGACATTTTCTACCCCTACCGTTACCTATTTAAACATATTTACCCCTTAATCTAACAGACCCCTGACTCCAGCCTTTCTGTTACACGTGGCTTCATCTTAAGCCCCCACCCCCTTTTTTTATTTTTGATTTTGTAAAGCCCTATCTTAATATTTATTAACCCAAATTAATACCTCTTAATAACCCACCCCAAGGACCCAAGTAATTGAATCTCCAGATTAGCTCTAGTACTTGGGGTTCTCGTATTCCTCCACTCCGTTCATTTATACTCAATGATTAACAGAGGAAAATATATAATGCACAGAATATGCTTGCTTTGCGCACTAAATATAGTATCTTCAATCGGTCTTATCTTCCTCCTCGATGCTTTTATTTAGCTACTTGCCTACTTGATTTTTCAGAAACAAAACAAAGTTATTTAAATCCTACAAATGTTCAAAGTCCTATTCAATTTGTTCTTATACGCCAACCTCTATTTTCTTTCCCTTTCTGTAATACCTTTTGGGTGAACACAAAATAATTGTTTTAATGGAGACACAGATTCATCTTAGAGAATTTGAAGAATCTTAAGATTTTGATTTGATAACTTCGGTATGGGTTTATTCGGAACGAAATGAGTGCGAATATGATTTGGTTAGTAGTTGTTGATATTCTGTGTTTTCTAAGAAGTTAGAATTTAGAGTACATAAAAATAAAATTTTCCGGCAAAATTACAATTTTCCGGTGATAGTCCATGTTGAAGGTGATGAGAGGTCATAAGTTTCATTGTGGGAGAGCAAAAAGGTTGCTGGAGGGATGAAAAATGAAAGAGATGGGGAAAAGAGAGAAAATTTTCAATTGTGGAGATGCTANAATTAACCTTTAGGATGGGGTCTTGGGGTGGGTTATTAAGAGGTATTAATTTGGGTTAATAAATACTAAGATGGGGCTTTACAAAATCAAAAATAAAAAAAGGGGGTGGGGGCTTAAGATGAAGCCACGTGTAACAGAAAGGCTAGAGTCAAGGGTCTGTTAGATTGAGGGGTAAATATGTTTAAATAGGTGACGGTAGGGGTAGAAAGTGTCGAATAGTATAACGAGGGATATATATAACTAATATTTAATAGTTCAGGGACACATATAGCCCTTTTCCGTTTGTACTATAAATAAACACTAACAAAAATCAAATATTGTAGAGCAAAAACTAATGTATAAAGAGGAGAATAAATATAATGTATTTTATCCATATATTAAATTTATTTGATAAAATTTAGTAAATAAATAATACTCGAAAATATTATCGACAAATTTAAATATCGAAATAATTATGAGAAAGTCATAGAGGATAATGTCAAGTTAAATTTTCAGAGTAACACAAATTCATATTCATTGTATTATATTAAATTGGTAATTTATTAAAAATTTATATGATAATTTAATAATATTAAGTAATGGATAATACAATTAGATAATAAGTAAGGAACGAACAAATATAAATTTGTAAGAAAATATAAAAATATAAGATTTATAATTAGAATTATGATGAGAAAAGTCGTACATATACACATAATGTGATGACCCAAAAGGTCATCTCTTGTTTTAAAAGTTGAATCTGTATTCTAAGGCCTTGAAAACCTCCTTTTATCTCTCCTCAATTTGTGTGCGCAGTCCGGGCCCGATACCGGAAAGCTTTTGGTGTGAAAAATTTAAGAAATAATTATTTTTGGCTTAAAAAGATAATTTTAGTTGACTTCGGTCAATATTTAGGGTAAACGGATCCGGAACCGTGTTCCAACGGTCTCGGAGGGTCCGTAGTAAAATATGGGACTTGGGAGTATGCCCGGAATCGAATTCTGAGGTCCCTAGCCCGAGAAATGAATTGTTGAAGAAAATTATTTAACTGAAAATATAATAGTTTTTGGAAATTAAATAAGATATGATCTTGTTGGTATCGGGCCCGTATTTTGGTTCCGGAGCCCGTTACAGGTCTGTTATGGTATTTAGACCTTTTCTGTGAAATTTGGAGAAAAACGGAAGAGATTTGATGTAATTCGGACCCTTGGTCGAGAAAATAGAAATTTTGAACTATCTCGAGAATTTCATGAGTTTTGCTGTTGAATTCATAGTTCTAGATGTTATTTTGGCGATTTGATCGCACAAG